TTCAGTAAGAAATTAAGGAGGAAAGAAACAATTAAAATATTGAATATTTTAAAGATTAAAAACATTCCTAAAAGGTTTAGCTACATGCTGACAAAATATTACACAGAATCATAGTAAAACATGTAAAGTTCAATTTAAATACTTGAAATAAGTGTTAAATGGCTTTTTTCTATCAAAAAAATCAAAAATTGAGTTAAGCCGAAAAAATCGGCTTCGATCTCTGATTAATTCCATCAAAACTTCAAAATTCGGACAAAATTTTAGTAAAATCTGCTCAAATCACACGAATAATCAAACAACAGACACCAAAGAATCCCTAAAGAACGTAAACAACACCACAAAAATTGAAAGAATTAAGCAAACATCAAGTCAAACTCAAGTCAATCTCAAAGAAGTTAAATTGAACACAAAACAATTTGATTTGAAATATTCCTGAATCGCAAACAATGTAACTTACACAAAATGGCAAGGGTAATGAACAGAAATCACTTCATGGCTAATTCTTTTATTCCATTTTAATCCATCTGTTCATTACTGATTCATGTTTCGCAAGTAGCAATAAACATACTGAAGTGAACAAAAAAAAATACTAAAGTCTGCTATATAAATAAATAAGAAAATCAAATAAACATCAAAGGGCAATGAAGTACAATAAAATAATGAAATGGGCATTATAAAAGTGATTTTAAGTGAGGAAATTAATGTACGTTTAACAACAATGTAGATTGTGGAATTAATCGAAAGAGGGATTGGAGGCTCATTTGGATATGCAACTGAATTATTGAGTAACTAATGGAATTGCAGTTGATATCTACGAATGGTGTAAGCAGTTATTAAAAATTTGTGCTTACAAAGTAGAAAACATGATTTTTGAGTTTTATAGATAAGAATATGTTGTGTCAGAGCAGAGTTGGCTGCTTGGGCAGCTAGCTAAATCTATTACTGGTAGAATAAGAGCTTAGTGAACGAGTAATCTACTTCATTATGAAAGCTTAGGTTTGAAGTTGATTAAAATTGTGAAAAACTGGAGACAAAGAGCAGCTGATCTTGCAAATCAACTAATAGCACTTAATCCTAACCCACAAAATGCGTCACACAATGTTCAACATAATAGACCTGAAAAATTACAAAGATTAATATTCATTGACTTCGTTTCTTATGCTCTAAGTCTTTCTTATGCTCCTCTAGTCTTGCGACAATCGAAATAATGTAAGCATGACGATGAAATAATAAAAGCCAACAATATAACATGGAAAAAGGAGAGAGAAAAGAAAAAAAAAAGACAATTGTCTATTCACCTATTAATATTTAATCTGTATATCTCTATCTTTTTGCACATAGCTTCATTAAATAAATAGCAAAAAATTGTAGTTTAATAGAGACAATGAATCATCTCGGCGCAAATAATACGAATTAATGCGGCTTATAGTTGAGTGTTTCGATTATTTTCAAAACTGAAAAACAATTAGAGTGTTGTGACACTAGTTGAAGTTGAATGCTGAGTCATTTGTTGCTGCTTTAATGTTTTTTTTTACTTTTCAATTCAACAATAAAATGAGCTTGTGGAGATGAAGAGAAAAAACAGGCGCGAGACTAGTTAATTAAACACAAATCGTGAGCTAAAGGAATTAATTGATCAGCGATCGCAATGCTAGTTACTAATTACTTTTTTTCCAACTCATCAAACTTCCTCATCATTAGCCTCACAATGATCTCCTTGTGTATTGAGATTCAATGTGTTACAATTTTTTTTTTCAGTAGATGAATAAGACAGCTGTGTGAGCTCGCTTTTCCATTGCCTAGAAGTGAATTGAATTTCATTAAAATGAGAAAAAAAAAGTAACGAGAAATGGGCGAGTCGTGAAAAATGTTTCTTTCATTGATTAATTCACTTAAATTTGTTGTACTTTTTTTTCTCTTCTAGTTTGAGCTCATCATAAATAGGTACATGAAGTATGGGAGATCATGTCTTATTGGGGGGTAAATTTCTATGTAATTTTTCTCTTTTTTTTCTTGACTTTATGGCTGTTTTGTGATCTTGAGGTGAGTTTTGTCAGAAACTCTGATGATTGAACTCATTCAGCGAACCTATTGAATTTAAATTTTAGCGTACGTTTTGATTTTAAATTTTAACGAACTTTTTGATTTTGAACTTTAACGAACTTTTTAATTTCATTGATTTTGAATTTTAACGATTCTTTTAGATTCAAAATTTTAAATTCTTAACCAACTTTTTGTAAATGTACTAAGCAGTAGAAAGAACTTGAAGTAATCAAATTAAATCAAATAAATTCAACAGAATCAACTCAAACCCAACTCAATCAAGATTTTCTCAGAAAATTTAATCTAAGGGCCTCCTGCTGCACTTATTTGTTACTGTTGTTATTTTCATTAGCTTTTCTTTATTTTAAAAAATGAGAAAATATCAAACGAACATAACAACAATTTGTAAATCTGCACAATAACTGTGAAGAAATAACCAAATGGGAAGTGAATGACAACAAGATAAAATAAATAAAATAATAATTTTTACTAGATTTTTCACACAAATTTTGTTACGAGGGGGGGGGGGGTCTAAAAAGTCATTTTTTCGCGTTACGTAATAAGTGAACAGCCCCAAAACTAATCGATTATTCAACTACGAACCAACGAAAATTCCAATTTCCCGCCCAACTTCCCACAAGTGTTAAAAATCTTATTAATAAGTAACAAGTCAATAATGTGATGCAAGCATGAAAAATGATTATTTTCATGTAACGATCATAAATATTAGACAAAATGAGGTGCGCACATAAACATATGATGTACATATGTGCATTAACATAAGGCATGTAAAATAAATTGAACGCAAGCAAAGCGGAAAGTAAAAGTTCAATTAATCTACAAACAAATTAATGCATCATGCATCATACATTTTTATGTGAAATTAAAAATCATCATTTTACGTCTCTCAATTTCCTTTTCGCTTCTCTTTTTCCTTTTTAAGGTTAATTCTTTGTTTTCACTTTTTTTTTCACAATGGAAATTATGTCGATTGCGCAAGAAAGAAGCTGTGTGACTAATTCTTTAGGTTAATTTTTATGCAACAATAAATTTAATGTGGAACTAAGTAAGTTTACTAGTTCAATTTTAATGAAAAGCACGTGGTTTTTACGCTTTTGTGATTTTTATATTAGTTTTCTTAAACTAATCAGTACAATCTTGGTGTAAATTACTTTTGCCACTTTTTTAAAGCTATAAAATCGCAAAGCTCACCTTTGCTTCGTCAAATAAGCGATTAATTCGAGAAAAACTTTTTGAAGTTACAAATTTTTTAAGAAACACGTGAAATTTATTTTTTTTTTAAAAACCCGTTAAAAAATAAATTAAATGAATTTTCAATCAATTAAAGTAAAATTTTCTTAATTGCATCCTGTTTACATAGAATTCCCAGACACATAAAGAAATCAAGAAATTTCCACCATAAACCACAAACAGAAACATTTAATCTTTACAAATTGATTCACTCATACCAAAAATGGCACTGTCGCAGGCGCCGTGTGATAAAAAAAAACTTATCACATATCATCAGTTTTCTCTTCATATAATATTTCTGTCTGTAAGTGATTACAACAGAAACATTAACAGCCGTGATATTTCGTAAGTTAATGAGACATCATCATGACTATGAAGTAATCGGGTGTTGTATAGCATAAGTTTTTTGGATGCATTTATTGTTGTTTAATGATTATTAACTGAACACATATGTGAATTTATTTTGGCACCTACAGGCATTGTAATTTAAAAATGTGGAGTCTGATTACATGAATGCTGTGAGATTGGCTGGATGTTTTCGATTATTTAGGTACGTGAGTAGCTGATTTTGTGGATTATTGATGAGATTTCATGGTATTTTAATTGAGAATTATAAAAATTGTAGTTTTTAAGGTTAGACTCATCAAAATTCCCAACACAACTGTTAATCCACACCGCACAAAATTACTTTAAATCAAGACATTATCGACCATGCTTATATTTTATTATCATCTATTAAAACCGCAGTTATTGATTGCTTTTATCCAACATAAAAATTTCCTAATCGAAGACTTCAAGAAAAATAAGTTTTACTCTTTCCGAAAGTAAGGAAAAATCAATAAAGAGAGTCTAATAGCATCATTATTTATAAGCACATAATTATGCTTATTTATGTGTATCAATATCAGCTCGATTGACGCATCAACAAAATTTTAATCAGCAATATGTAATGACACACCACGAAATAACGCTTTTAATGTCATTTCAAGAGATTTGTGAGGATGCTTTGAAGATTTACTATGAAATGTTTATAAATTTGATAATTAAAGAGATTTTTAAAGAGGTTTAATGTGAAAGAATTTAGTCTGTGCCGTCCTTTAGAAACTTAATTATTGATTTAAGAGCATTAAAGAAGTTAATTCAAATTAAATTTCAAGAAAAATTTTTAAATATGGGAAGTTTTACAAAATGACGGACAGAACATTTCAAATTTCTAAGAACTGTTAAAATTCAATTTCAATTTTTTGATCAAAAAATTGAATTCAAGCCACAAAATACACTTTAAAGTATCAATTTCACCACGTAGTACTCTTCTTCATCTCATTATGATTGAGTAGCTCATCATAACTCAATTTCATTCACTTTCATTCGTCATTGATGAAAATAACATTGTTGTTATGTCTACAACCTAATATCCATTGTCAAACGATAATTTTTGTTGAATGATGATAATGATTTTTAAGTAGATAAATTAAATAAAGTTATGAGAAAAAAGCACACGACGAATGTGCAACAAAAGAAAGTATTAATTGGAATCATCAATCAAATAAATTGAGATAAAATAAAAAAAAAAGTCTTTCTTTCTTTCCTCATCTGATGCCGCCAATTGATATTGAATAATAAAACCAACAAGCAAGTTGTAGCCTCGATGCGATTTAATAAAAAGAAGAATTGTAAGAAAAGAAGGAGAATGAGTTTAAACTTACATTACTGGCATTACGGCTATACTGTCCATCAAGACGCATTGTGGCTGAACGATTGAGAATGACGAGTCGCCTATAAAGCGCTTGTAATTGATCCTGTAAAGATAGAGAGTATGAATGAAATATTGCATTTTTAAAAATACATTTTCTAAGCTGTTTGTTATATTGTTCCAGATTAAAAGATTTTAAATTAAGTTTAAAAAAATAAAAAAAAAATTCTTAAAGGTTTTTGCATATTCTAATTTTTAAATGTTTAAAATGTGAAAAATCGTTAAAAATTCAAACCTTAAAAACCGTTAAAATTTCAAATTTTTGAAAACCGTTAAAATTTAAATTTTAAAAATTTGTAAAAAGTTTCTTTAATCTTTCCATTATTCTCATCACCACCCAGCTCTAGTACTCCGGTTCAAATAAAATCGGAACAACATAAATACAATATTTTTTCATCTCATTTCCTTACCTTCTCAAGAAACGGGTGGTCTTTCTCAACACCGCTCAAGTCAATTGGAAATTGAAGATCTAGAAAGAAAAGAAGAAGGAATAATGAATAAAAAAAAATGAAGTGAGCGACACATATGAAAAATAATATGAAATGATTAATTGCATAATTATCTTTCAGCTCATGCATACACACCACACATATCACATACATATCCTATCTCAATTGCAATTATACATTCATTTATCTATCTAGCTATCTATCTATCTATAATAAACATACTTATGTAGATATATAAAAGAAGTACACATAAATGAAATTGCAATTTAATATCTCAATTTAATAATTTAGCGCGTATTCGTCTCTTGTGTCTTTATTGTTTTGTGCTTATTTCTGGGGAGGCTTGGGAATCTTCAATCCAGGACTATCTTTAATTAGAAGATAGTCATTTTTATGTCTCTTATGCCTATTTAAGATGAGCCTACAACTTCTTTCTCGTAATCGCTTCTTTGAGATTCGAACTTTATACCTGCAAGAATTTTAACCAAATATAAATAAATAACAAGTTATAATCTTGTGGTTCCCATCCCTAGTCAACTATTCTCGCATCTTTTTCCGATCCAGCATGCTCACTTACTCATTTTTTTCGCATAAAAAAGATTTATTTACACTTATATTTGTAGAAAGTTTATTTTATTGCAGTTTACTTCTTCCTCACATCGGAATCTTAGTCGATGAACTCTTTTCTTTACTCAACATTTTTTTTTGTATTTCGTGAAATAAATAAAACGGTAATTTTTCTAAATTTATGTTCATACAGCCGCAGAGCAAAATATTATTGAATGAATTGATTACTAATTTAATAGTAACAAATCGTTTTTCCTTCATTCATGAACATTACTTTTTTTTGTGTTTCTTAAAGCAATTTAATTGGTTCTTTATTATTATTGTATATGCTGCTGCTGTTCGATATATGGGAGATATGTATTACGGTCAAACGGTAGTTCAAATGAATGAAAATTTATTTTATTGGGGCAATTGAAGATTTTGCTTTGTGTCTGTGGAGAATGAATTATGATTTGGAGAATAAATTGAGGACTTTAATTCGCATAATTTAGTTTTCCATTGACCGTAGCTCTTTGTAATCGATAGGAAATTGAAGCAGGTTATTGTAATTATTATTATTATTATTATGATTGAAATGCTATTAAACTGTTTCATAACTTTTTGATTGCATTACCGTGAGATTAATGATTTAATTTAAGTAACGGTCGTTTTAGATTTAAATTGGTTAGCTTATTATGACAAAACACGTTTCAAAATATTTTCTTATTAAATTTTTCTGTATCTGCTTCGATTCTGATGATTCTTGCATTGCAGATTAACTTTTGCCATCTTTTTTGTTCTTTTCAACAACTTTAGTCAATTATTGCTTTTACATATCTAGAGAAAATTGCAAAAAACTTTTCGAGGTGAGAAAAAAAAATTGTTTGTAATTCAAATTTCTAAATTCTGTTGGAATTTCAAATTAAAAGCTACACACAATTATTATTAACAATTTTGTCTGAAAATTACATTAGTCAATCGCTTATGATGACTTTTCGACCCGTTGTCATAAATAAACATCTTTTTCCCATATGACTACATGCACACTTGACCAATAATCTTATGTCTTAAAATTCCATTCAAATCACATAAATCTAATAAAAATGTAATCAATTCCGAAATGAATTTCCATTTGTTCGACTGCATAGTTCAATAAATTTTAATATTTATATGAAATTAAAGAAACACGGCACAAAACACGAGACAACAAAAATACAGTAAGTAAATGTGATACGGGTTACAAAGTATTTTTCAAGCATATCGTGATATCGAAGATATTTATCTATTCACCAATCCATTCAATCAGTATATATCCGCAATTAAAACCCTATTTAAAGACTATGATGAATTTCATGGTTCAATGAGCATCGATATATGTTGAGTTTATTTTTATCTCAATTCACAATTATAATGTCTCATGTCGATATCTCATCGTCATCTAACAAATCGATCGTTACACGAATGATTTGAATGGGTATGGAAAAAAATTATTTTAATTTAATATTGAATTTATGAAGTGGCTGCTGTTGCCGCTGACGATTATAATGAATGGAAAAGTAATTGTTGAAATATGTTTAGCTGGTTCTTGTAGATTCGATGGAGATTTTAGTCATATTTTGGCTGATTGTTGGGTTTTAAGGTTGTAACGGACATTTTTAATTTGAATTTTCGCATCTTTTCTATTTTGACGCGGATTTTGTTGAAAGTTTTTTAAAAGATTGTTGACTGTTGAAAATTTAGTGTTTCAACTAATGATTCACATCAAAGCCTTTATACTGCGTCTATTACTCATCCACAAACATTTCCTCAACTTCCATATTTCCTCATTTTAATTGTTAAAGCATAAACGCAAATATTTAAATAGCAATTAAGTAAATGTTGATTAAATAGGAGGAAACAAAGTAGAAGAAGTAAACTCACGACTCAGAGGAGTAAGAAGAATGTAAAGGAAGGTTAATTGCTGAGAACCCCAACAAAAAAAGATATAAAAATAAAACTTTTAATGTCATTTTTTGCGGAAATATTTGAATTTTAGTTTATTATACAAAAAGCTAATAAAAAATTCAAAAATTTTTAATTCATTTCCTCTGTCCGAGTCATGTCGAGAGGAAAAGACTAGACTGCTGACTCAATCGCTTCATAAATTTATTCGCATTTTCGCTTATTGATTTAACTTCAATTTCATTCTCAATTTCTCCACTGCATCTCAATTCAATTCAATTCAAGTTTTTGTTTTTTTATATGAATGAAAAACAGACGGAGAAGAAATATGTTGGAATATTTAATATTTATATTATTGAGGTAGCAATAAACGAGTAGCTGAAATCTTAATTTCTTTCAATATTAAATGGAAGTATTCACCGTAATATTTATAAATATTTTTTTGTGTTCAATATCATAAACATGCAGTATTAATCATAAATAATTTTCTTCTACTGGAATTTTACGTATAGTCGATGGATAGATGGATATGTAGGAGCAATAGCTGGTAACTTATGGTTTTTGAGACATTTTATGAATTGTAAAAAGTCAAATTTCTTAAGTCAATTATGAATCCAAATTTTTAAAGGCCGTTAAAAATTCAAATAACGAAAATCCATTAGAAATTCAAAGTTCATGAATCCGTTAGAAATTCAAAGTTCTTAAATCCGTTAGAAATTCAAAGTTCTTAAATCCTTAAAAAATTCAAATTTTTAAAGTCGGTTTAACATTCAAATTTTAATAAACCGTTGAATCACCAGGAAAAATTATGAAAGTTTTCTCACTTATTCTCTCCTTAATATTCACACATTTATCAGCACCACCTACTAAAGTCATCTATTATTAATTGAAAATTAACCTCAAGTATCCCAACCCATATCAAAGTGCCATACCTTTGTAATTGAATAGTTAAGCACATATGAATATTTTGTAGAAATAAAAATTATAATAATAATATTGTGTATGCTTCCGTTTTCAAAAGAATAGCTATGCATTTAAAAATATTACTGCACAAAATGAAAATAAAAAATAATGTGCATATATGTTCAGTGCCTGCACTCTTCCATGCGAGCATTCATTTAATTTCTCAATAAAATGCATTCAGGGCTTTTTCTTACGTCACAATGTTATTGTTATAAACATTAAATGAATTATACCTTGATACATTTGTGCATATTGTGGGAATCCTGCTTCTCGTAGCCATTTCATTGCTTCTGCTGCCTGAATTTCTGTAAGATAAAAAAAATAAATAAAAATTAAAAAAAGGTTTATCAATTGTTTTATTTGTTAAAGGATTTAATGGACTTGTCAGGATTGATTGAATTTTTTTCTTCTCATTTTTCTCTCCGCATGGATTTATTCATATTTATTTATAGAAACAGATTCTCCCTATCGCTGTCGGTTTTTATATTTGTTTGCTTTGGAGTTCATTCGAATGAAACTAATCAATAAATATTTTAAATATATTATAAAAGTATGCATGCATACATAAAGTGTGTGCTCTTTTGGATAGATTAAATTTGCTTTTGCGTACTGAGTTATTTTTAATTATCAGATGAATTGGATTTTAATTGAATTGAATTGATAAGAGGAGTTGAATAGAAGTGAATTGTGCTATTTTGCTGAATTGATCACTTTTTAAAAATTTGCTGAATTCAGCTTGTTTCTTTGCTGAGTTCAGCACTTACTGATTCAGCTCTTTATGCTGAGTTATCTGAATTCAGTTCTTTCTGAGTAAGCTAAATTCAACTATTTCTGCTGAGTAAGTTGAATTCAACCCTTTGCTGAGTTTGCTGAATTCAGTATTAGCTGAGTTTGCTGAATTCAGCACTTTTTGCTGAGTAAGTCGAATTCAGCACTTTACCCAGCCTTTACAATTTTATAATTCCTCATTTAATTGATAAAACATCAATGAAAAATCAAAAGCGACAAAAACTAGCTTCATTAAAATCACCTTGTATCTTGTCATTTCATCTCATTTCATTATGACTCTATTTGTTTTCTATTAAGCAACACAAAACATTTACATGATACAGCAACAAAATAATAAAAATAACAGGAAAAAATTACGTAAATTCAAAAATCTATGTCATTTAAAATGAAGTTACTAGAACTTTTAATTGACAACGAATAAAAAAGACGATGATGTAAATTGTCTGTTGATATAACAATAATAAAATGAAATATTTACGCAAATGAAGAAAGAGAAAAAAAAGTTTTCACAATTGAATGAGAGAGTAAATTGTGTAGGAATGAAGCTATTGTGTAATCTTGTGAGTTAATCGTGATAAGGCTTCTACTTTTTTGTTCGGAAAGTCTAGCATTGTACTTTGATAGTGATGTAGACAAAATAGATTGGAAAATGTTGATAATCTGTTTGTTGTAGATTTGAATCGTTGATAATTGAGTAAATATAGAAGAGCTATTGATAGAATTTATAGGAGGCAATGGAGGAACTCGAATTAATATCAATGAAGACTGTTTCTGTTGAAAGCTCAATTCAAACTTCGAGCTGGTGGCTAAAGGTTAACATTGGATAAGCAAAAGTCAAGATATTGATATTAGTATCACTAAGCGATCTAGACTTGTGGACTCATAGTTTAAAACCTTGCTGGATCTAAGCTAGTTAATAATAAAAAGTTAACAATCTACAAACTTTGTAAAAAAAACAATCTATCAATAATTTGTTCTCAAATTTCTATTTCTAGCAACACATTTGAAACTTTTCAATCAAAAACCTTGAATTAAGCAACATTACACTGACGAAATTCAAGTGTAAGATCCCCAATCTCAAGGGGAATTTCCAAAACCCAATAAATAACTCAATTTTCGCACCAAAACATCGCAAAAAAATGAAAACAAAAAAAAGTTTAAAGTGCCCAATGACACCTAATCTAATCAAGAAGCTAAACACATGCACGGGTTCTTTTTTTTTGTTATCGAATATGCACCAAAAATATTTTTGTTCCTCACGATAAGAATCAACACACATTTATTTTTGATCTTATCATCATGTGATAAATGATATACAGTACAGTCGTGAAATATGAACAATGAATTAACACGTAGCATTGATAATACACGAAATGACGTGTGAGCATGTTTCGCAAATGACTGAGTGTGAAGAAGCTTTTGGATGGAGAATAATAATAGGGGGATGTGGGCGGTGTGGAAATTTTAGGGGTTTTTAGAAAATTTGCTTTGTTCGTTGATTATTAAAAAAAAATATAAAAATAAACTAGACGTAACCGTAAGCAGAAATTTTTTTTTAAATTCGGAAATCGAACCCTTGACCATTTGCAGATCAAATTTAAGTATCAACTTCTTATCCTCTAATCCATAGAGTCTTTTCAATTTTTAAAAATAATTTAACAAAATATCATTTTTAAACCACAAAAATCCCCAAATTCTCAGTTTTGCCCGCCATTCACCCTTAAACCTCTATAAAAAAAATTCATAATCGATGACAACTATCGCTGTATGTGTGTGAAGATTTATATTTTTAGTCTATCAGATATCAATAATAATAAAAAAAACTTATTTTTTTCAGTCGCTTGTGAATTTTCGTGATTTCAACATCGAGAATAAGTCAAACAGCGAGAATTGCATAAAAATTGTAAGTCACATGATCCAACAGAGAAAAAAAAATAATAATAAAAGCTCATTATAATAAATGACATTCTATTCTTTCTATAATTAGTTAGAACAACACTAAAAATTTCGCTCCAACAATGAGTCGTGAACGTGATTCCGAGGTTGTACATGATCTTGTTACATCCAAATATAAAATTGCAGAACGTAATCGGGTGGCAAAATATCGTTTTTTGAGCAATGAAAACGTTAATGCTTTGTCAGCGTCGAAGCATCGAGGATCGGAACCATCACTAGCACAAACAGAAAGAGCTGATGTTAAGCCTGTAGACTTGAGTGTGCCTGGAACTCCAGTATCGAGTCGATATCTTCAATCATTAGGTAAATTTAGAAGGAATCGTGGTGGAATAGACACAGACAGTGAAGCTGATGACGATGATGATGAAGGCAATGCATTGTCTAGTCTTCAAAGTGCACTGACTGAAGGTCTTAAACAATTTGCATCGGACATGGAAAAATTAAAATCACATGATGTGGCTGACTCGAATGAAAAACAACCACCAGTGACTGTAAAAATTGAAGCTGAATTAGTGGAACCACCTCAAAATGGAATAAAGGAGACAACTGAAATTAAGGAAGAAATTCCAGCATTGCCATTAAAAGGACCACCTCAAATATCAAAGATAGAAAAATATTTCCGGGAATCTGCAAGACGTGGATCGCTTACTAGAGATTTTACAGAAGTTGTGGATACATTTGACCCAAAATTACTTAGTGATCCTGAAGGCACTGCCAAACCAGGAACTCCAGTTAGCTCGAAATTTCTTATATCTGAAAGACATCATAGCAGAAAGCTTCAGCCATTTACAGAAAGTATGAAGAAGCTTGAAGCACTTAAATCACCAGAAATTGTCAAAGTAGTCGAGGACAATCGCAAAAGCGTGGAAAGTCCACCAGAAAAGCCAAAACGTATCAATCCAGTGCCATTAACACCAACTGAAAGTCCGATTATAATTTTTGAGGCACCAACACCACCAGCAACCCCAGTTAATGAATCAAAAAGTGATGTTCCTAAAAAATTAGATCCAAAAGACTTCCCACCAATCTCATCGTCTGGAATTAAGGTTGATAAGAAGGTTGAAGAAGTTTTGATCATAGTTGAGAAGAAACTTGTTGATGAAAAGAAGGCTGCTGAAGAGTTGGAGATAATTGGTAAGCAAAAAATCACTAAGACGTCATATGTGATTGAATCTTTTACATGTTTTGGTCTAGATACAGTTCGATAAATTGTGTACCTTTAAAATTTGTGCATTAGTGACTCATTATCAGCTTCATAATCTTTATCAAAATTTTTGATAGTAAAAAAATTCAATTTTTTCGTAGAACAAATAATTGCACCGATCAGAGCACCAAAGGAGCAAGCAGCAAAACCAGTCCAAGTGCAAGCACCAAAACCAGTCCAAGTGCAAGAAGCAAAACCAGTCGAAGTGCCTCCAGTAAAACCAATCATAGAACATCCGACAAAACCATTTGAACCACCAAAAATCGAGGAAGTCAAGCAGACATCAGAACAAGGTAATGTTACAGAAGTTAAACCCAAACCTGAAGAAGATTCCAAACCCAGTGAAGCACCCACAGATTCCAAATCATATTCCCGTAAACTTTCCGTTCCTGGAACTCCAGTTGATAGCCGCAAATTATTCAATCCTCTTGCAAATGATGATGAAAGTGATCTTGACAGTGACATTGAAATTATAGAAAGCTCAGAGATTGGAGAACTTGCTAAAGAGTTTGTTGGTAAGATTGAGGAAATGCTGCAAAGAACCATCGAAGATAATCATTTAGATAAGATAGCTGAGGCAATGATTGAAGAGAAGCCTGAGCCAAAGCTTGCAGAGAAGCCAAAGGAAGAAGTAAAGCAGCCAATGGAAACCCCCAATCTGGAACCAATATTAAATGCAGCGGAAGACGCTGAGAAAGATGATAAATTACTTCCAATAGAGAATCCAAAAATTTTAAACTACTTCGAGCAAGCAGGCAAGGATAAATCATATCAACGAACATTCTCAGAAATTGAAAGCTTCAACGAGCCATCAATGGATGTTATCGAAAAAGTCGAAAGATATTTCAAAGAATCGGAAGAAAAGAAGAGCTTAACGCGTGGATTTTCAGAAGCCATCAATTATATTGAACCGATTGATATTGAGCAGTTGCTTACACCAGGACATCCAGTGTCCTCTAAAGTTGTTGAGCATTTGAAAGAAATTGGTGAAATAGAGGAAGAGAAGCCAATAGATCCAATTGTAATCCATGGAATGGAAGCATTTAAAAAAGCACATGACGCTCTTCATCCACCACCATTGCAAGATTTCAAGGCTAAAGAATATTTTGAGGAATCAGAATCACGTCATACTCTAAAACGTGATTTCTCAGAAGTCTATGGTGAAATTGGTGCACCTCCACGTCCAGCATTAGAAAATCCAGAAATAAAGAAATTCTTTGAAGAATCGGAAGCACAAAAATCATTTAAACGTCAATTTTCGGAAGTCATTCAAACCCTTCCACCTCGAATCAAGGATATTTTACCGGACGAGAAGCCACCATTACATATCGAACGCTCATCACGTTTCAGTGTCTTTTCAGCACCAGATCCAACAGAAGCACGTCCCGAAAGTCCAACAATCGCACGTAAACACGGTAAAAAATATGGAATTGATAAGTACTTTGCAGCATCACTGTATCGAACTGCTTATCATAGATCAAAGAATCAACGACGAGGAAGCGAACCTGATCATCGATTCGCAATTGTAGAGGATGAATATGTTTTTGGTGAAAATGATGTTCTACGTAATGAAGTCTTTCAAGATGACGATGCAACGCCAATACATCCAATTCACCATAAACATAAACCGAATGATGGCAATGAGGAAGATTCAGATCAACAAAATGTTCAATTTTGGAGAGATTTCCTTAAGCCATATACTCTTAATCTTCCAACTGATATAGTGATGCGCGATGAGCTCATTGATAAATATACAAAATATACATTAGAATAACATGCATAACAAAATTCGATTGCTGTGTTGATGAAATTTATTAGATTAGCATTTTAGCAGTTATTAACAAACATCCATTCAAGCTAATTCCTAGAATTTAACCATATTTTATCTGTGTTTGTAGATTCTTCTGTGAGATTTATCATTAAAAAATTGTAAATTATTAAAACAAATGTTGTTAACATACTTAATTGTGGATGGCTGAGCTTATTTTTAACAATTCAGGATGCTCTGTACATTATTATAGGTCATTCTCAACTTCCAACATTAAAAAAATACTCAATGAACCATAGAAAATGCACAGAAGCATGTTTAAAATTCCATTAAAATCGACATTACTGCAGACATAAAAATATTATGCATGCTGATTGTTGCCAATAAGAGTAGCTGTAGGGCTTCTTAAAATCTTATTGAGATCAAAATATGGAGAAGCCTTTTTTGTGTTTTAAAGTAAAAGAGAAATTTTTAGCATTTTTGAATTGCAGACAATGTTGTTGTCGCGAGAGGTTCTTTCATGTGGATTTCGGGGAATTCTTTGGAGTGGTTTGGTGTGGAATTTTAAGAAATTATGCTGATAAAATGCAGACGTTGAGGTTTTTAATGGAATTATTAAGATTTATTGAAGATCATTTGAGTTGGTGACGATAAAATGGCAAGAAGCTACAAGCAGACTACTATAAAATACTGTATTCAATGATTAGATAATTCTGGAAGTCTATTTGTATTTGTCGCAATTTGCTGAAACAAGGAAAATGCTTCATTCGCTCAATGGCAGTGAACTACAACCAATATTATCAGATATGACCCTTAAGACTTTAGGTTCAAATCCTATGAAGTTTAGAAAAATCAAAAATCCCACCAGCTCATCTAAAAATCAATTCGACCATTAACCTTCATCCAAAAGCTTTCAAGTCATCGACCCAAATTTCATCTCTCAAAAGCCCTTTCTTATCTCTAAATCCATACCATAAATTAGTGAAATTATTAATCCATTCGATCCAAAACCCGACGCGATCCAATTTACAAAAGTAGATTAATTTGAAAAATCCCCAACAGATAAGCTTTTGACAATCTCCATTGCATGTAGCATGGAAAATGGGATTAACATAGTTTAAGAGACAATTTGTATTTCTTCTCAAGCCTTCCAAACTAAGGTAAAATATCATTAAGTTGATTTTTCGTAGAAATTATGACAATAACGATTCATAAATTTCGATACGACTGTCACTTAATGTATTTGTGTGGCAATGGACGATAAAAATTAATTTACAATCGCCGGAACTAATTTAAATCGTTATGAAAATAACTCATCTAGTGTGTTTGGGTTGTGTGGTGTTGATTTGGAAATTTAAAGCTAAATAAGGTTTTTGTGTGGATTTAGTATTGACCTCCCAGATTGAAGTAGTTGTGGTGAGGTGATATTTAGAAGGAAACAGCTTTATTCGGAATTAAAGGACAAGAAAGTTTGAGCTAAAGTTCAAAATATTTGCAAAAAGAGAAAAACTTTTGAAAATGAATGTAAAGAACTTAATTATGTTTGTAGTGGGATTTGAACCCACGAAGCAGAGCTGCGAAACAGGCACCTGTGACAGGTGAGAACCCTACAATTCGTTGATAATTTATAAGGTTTTTCTAACAAAACCATACAAATTATCAAGGAATTGAAAGGTTCTCACCTATCACAGTTGACCTGTTTCGCAACTTTGCCACGAAGTACATCTTTCTCGTACCTTTTCAATCACCATGACCAATCAGATCCCAAAACTTTTGTTGAGTATTCAACATTTTGCATATATAAACCAAGTCACTTTGATTTCTAGCTAATTGAGGCAATTGATATCCAAATATTTCAAGTACGAACTACTAGCTAGTCCTCTAGCCTCCATTTTGACCTCATTATTCACTAACCCAACCATGAACTTCAATAACATTTTCACACATCTTTTGCAAATGACGCTATTTATTTTTTTTTTAAACAAAAATATTAGATTTCCCATCAGTGATTAACACTTGAAAAGATTCTTTATCATTTTTTGTGTGTGCCATCATCGCTTACAAAATTTATTAATGTTAATTATTTTCTCACGACTCAAGTCTTTTAACCTTCAAATGACAAAGAGAGAGAGAAAAAAAAGATTTATTTTGGTGAAAATTAACAGCCCGAATGATGCACATATTTAAAGTTTACAGCAAACAACAAGGAAAAAAGTTTTCTTCTTACACAATAAATTATTTGTTGGCATATGACAGTGTGTAAAGTGATGATGACATGCTAGGTATTGTGTACAATGTTGACAGGAAGAAAGTCAGGAAAAAACTTATGTTTTACAAGCATATATTGAAAATCGGGACTGTTTTTTTACTGTTTTGGATAGATTATATTTTTGGGTAGAGGTTAAAAATATTTGTGATTTTTCTGTGTTTTCCAGGACAAAAGCAAGGTTTATAGCTGCAAATTTCAATTTTACTAAACTTTACATGCTTTTCTTAGTCATGAATTGAAGTTAAATAACTTTAGACCAAGTACAGAACTCTAACGAAGCTTTGAACTCACTAGCAGCTGAAACATCTCAAGCTAAATTTATAAGTAAGCATCATCGCATGATAATCACCAATAAAATCTGAAGGCAACAAATTTGCATCAAAATCCAACAAAATCATGTAAAAAAGTAAATTTAAAAGACACCAATAAAATCAAAATCATTTAAAACTCAAAACTCTAAAATGTGCACAACATTTGTACATCCAATAAATGCCGCAACTACACAAAAAAAAAACAATAATAAATGTCGTTTCGATTTCATCTTCAAAATTAAAGACGAGACGATATTAATGTCAAATAATAAAATGTCAAGCTATCGACACCTTGAAATGGTACGCAAACATACCTTGAAATTGCGATGTCAATACACTTAAACTTGCTATTTGCTTACATAAACGACTCGATATGAGACATTTAATGAGATGAAATTTTTTCAATTAGCACTTTCACGCACTTTTTAACACATTTTCATCGACATCATCATAATCATTTTCATTATTGAATTTATGTGATGATAAAAAAATATGTTGTGTGCATTAAATTTATTTTTAAACATCAAAGTCGGTAGATAAAAAATGTAAATGAAGCAGGTTTGAAGAAGTTGATGAGTGGTTTGCGCGCGTTTTTTTTACTTTTGAGATGGAAATTGCTAATGAAAGTTAGATTTGTTAATGGAAGTAGCGGTTTGGTGAGATGTATTCTGAGTTGGAGCTGATTTTTTGAGTATTTGTTGAGAGTTATAAAGCTGGTGCTCTTGAATTGAGTTTAAACTTTTGGACTTTTAAGTTATAAATTTCAAACATTGTCTAATCATGTAATTTATTTAGAATTGGACCTTTAAATGTTCAATTACCATTGAACTTAAGCTAATTTTGGACTAAGACAGTGCCATGGCTGTGCTATTCTATTGCTTTATTAAATATCAATTTTATTAAAATGAAAGTAAAGCTTTTAAGGAGCATAGTGGTTCAAACAGTAATAAATGAAAATATTCATTCACCTATCTATAAAGTTAACAGGTTCAAATCCTAAGAAATTCAAATCATTGTTTTACGAGTCATGCTTTTTAAGATTTTTTTGAATTTTTCACTAGATTTAAAAATATGTTTTTTGTTACCTTCAAAATCGCACAAATCCCAATAAATCTTCCAATAAAAAATTGACATTAACATCTCAGCCACAAAACATGACTTTTAATTTCCATCTCAAAAATTACGAACCATATCATCAACATATTATTATACAGCTGATATCCGGACGAAAATTAATCATACAAGTTACGTATAATGTTCATTTTTGATCGGCTGCCTTCAATCATCAACAACAACGGCACTGGACTGTTGTGTGAAATGCACCAATAAATCAGATGATTTTATTTTCTTATCCAATCGTCATATGATTAAAATTATTACATAAATTAATTTAACACGAAAAGCAGAGAGAGAAAATTTCACTAATTCATCACGCATGATTTATGCTAATAATCTATATGTGAAAAAAATTATAATCATCATGTTCCATGATAAATCATAGCTTAATGGAATTTGATATTTTAATTTTATGTAAATCTTCATTTCCAGTGAGAAACAACAGACTGAAAATGGCAGTCGTTCAGGCACAGAAATTGTCAGAAACAGCCATCAAGATTTACAATACCTGCAATTTTCTTTTCACGCATTTTCCTCCACAGCGCTTCAGCTTTACGTTGTGACCAGTTTTCGATTTTGGTACTAAAACTACGAAAGAAGCGATACTCCTTTATGCTTGACATTTTGTCCTCGCGATCTGACATGTAATTGACCGTAAATAAGACTACGACTTGTAAGCGGGACACAAAATTGAAATTTTAAATTTTTTGTTTTAATGAATTCCGCTGCAGTTGGAACTTGGTTTATTTTTTCACTGAGGAATTCAATCGAGTTTAAATTCAATTATTTATAAAACAATTTCCTGCTTTAATTACTTCACTTCACAATTATTTTTAAAAATAATGTATGTGCTACAAACTTTGAATTTATTTTAGTTTTTTGTGTGTACACAATGTTATGTTACTTCACTTGCGGTAAGGAAAAAGAAAAAAAAATGAAAATAAGAGGAAGTAATAGTGATGATGGGCAAGTTTAGAAGATGAGTTGGTTTTTGAATACTTTTTTGGAACAGTTTTTCTGAATTCATCCACTTTTATTCAGCAAATTTTATCTAGCTGAACGCATCAACTTGAATTCAGATAAACTCACCAACTTTTATTCAGCTCAATTCAGCTTCTTTATTCAACTGAATTCAGCAACTTTTACACAGATAAACTCAGCAACTTTTATTCAGCTGAATTCAGCACAACTCAGCAACTCTGATTCAAAATTTTACAAAAAATCCTTCCATCTACAGACTGTCCCACATTTATATATATAATTTAATTAATAACTTATTTTAAACAGTTATAAGTGGAGCAAGGTTTGTTCAATGTGGGAATAATTTCACTGTCATACGTTCAATGCAATAATGCTGTCAAGTTTGCATCTCCAGCAATTACCAATCGATTTATGTCGTTAATATATGCAATCCTGCA